CGGTTCGATTCCGGTTCCTCTATTAAAAGAGTCAATTTTGGGACTATGGGTCGAGAATTTATCGTTTTTGATTAGGTTCTCGGTATTACCTTAAGAGCCAATAGTGAGGTTTGGTTTTCCTGAATTTCTCTTTTTGTTAGTGTATTGCACCACGAAGTATCGAATCTTTAAAAATTAGACCCCAAAATCATTTAACATCAATATAGTTTTTAGTTCAATATTTCATAATAACTCAAACTTCTCGTTGTTTTCAAAGTGATCGGCTATCAAGAATCAAAATCTTTGATGGCTAAAAAAGATAATAGGGTTATAAATGCTACATACATTTTTTAATATATATTATTCTATGAATTTTCTTAAGAATTAATTTTATATTTAGATTTTATCGTTTATGCTGCATTTTATAGTTCATGAATTTTTTCGCATTTTATGATTCGATCTTGAGTTTTGGAATGTATTTTTGTTTAATTGAATTTTTTTTTGTTACAAGAATATCGAGTGATTTCATACTTTATTTTTGTCTATTTTCAATTTGACAAGTAGTTTTTTATTTTACTTTTATAATTTGTAAATATAAAGAATAAGATTAGATCGAATCGAAATCGGGTGGTTTGGTTCCCATTTTGTTCCATAGTTGGATAAGGAACCAATGGTTTCATTTCTACAATATTCATTGGTATACAGTTTAATTCAGTTTCCTTTAGAACCGATCCGAATCAGACTACCTCCATTCCTATTGGAAGTTAATTATCAATTTTTTCTTTTTAGAAGTGGGGTCTAGAACAAACACATCTTTATGCCTCTTGGTTGAGTTGTTTTTTTGGGTCATTGTGGCTCCTGGATGTGAATGGTTAGAATTAGGCGACCCGTGAATGTTGTTCATTCCATCCGTCAAGCTGCTTATTGAACAAGTGATAGTATAACTTGAAGGAGTTTCTAGATTTTCATTTTTGGTGTCTAGCAACTCCATTGATGGTGCAGTATGGCATGACTACTTGTTCTCGCTGGATCCCATAATTGGAATGCATTTTGGTGTTTCCATCTAACTTGATGCTTGGTGTTGGAGCGGAGAAGCGAAATTATCCAGAAAGTAATTTTTTTTAATTCAATAAAGAAGACCATCTAGATATTCACAAGTTTATTGTATCAATAATAAGGGATTCAAATTTTTTTACCTAAATCAATAGTCAATTCTTGAATTAATTCGTGATTTCAACTTTGTGATCACGAACTTCCAGCTTTTAATTACAAGAACTTAATGTTTCAAACCTCCAAATCTTCTGTGGTATCCTCCAAAGTCAAGACTATACTGGTGGGTGAACAATTTTTTTTTTTTTTTTAAATTAAACTAAGAAACTAATTCTTGATTTGAATAGTTGATGAAAGCAAGAAAAATAATATTTTCTCTCATTTCCTTTCTCCAAATTTGAACACATCTCTCGAAATTTGAACATTATGGAATTATGTATTATGATTGTCGTAGGATTTCTATTGAATCTCATAGGATGTTTATGTTCCATCTAATCTCTGTTTATAGAGATGGAATACTTTCAATCATTGTACAATAATAATTCCACATTCAAATAAGAATTCTGATTAAAATTCAAGTAGGAGTTTTAATTAAAGTCCAAATCCAATTAGTTTACATTTAACTATATGTGTAGTCCTAAAACTTCAATTACATTATAATTAAGTTTACAACTTTCATAGTAATTACAACTAAGTACAAAACTTTATTGTAATTACAATTAAGTCCAAAATCATTATAATTGCCGTAATTAAGTTCGAAATCTTTATAGAGCTACCACAGGGACCTAATTGGATATATATTATCCAAGCTCGAATAATTAGATTATATCTAGTCGACCATAGACCAACTAAACTAATTATTAGTCATTGTTTTTCCATTAAAGGCGAATGATTGAACTCTTGGAATATATAAGATCACAAAAGTCAATAAATATATATTATTTTCTTCTGACCTGCCATATATGTATTTTATCCACGCCTGAAATTCAATAATTAGGTACGAGTACAAATGACCTTTGCCCTTGTAATTATTTTTACTAACTTAAGTATCATTTTCTTTAACGGTTCTGTGAACTAATAACAGATATTGAAGTTTAGCCGTCGTTAAACATTGATATCAGATTTTAACTGTTTAACATAAAATACTTAACTAGTCACTCTACCCATTTTTCAGATTGACAGTTCCTGACACGAATTAATGTTCTCTACTTCGTTTATCTTCAAGTTTCCAACTCATCGAGATATTTGACCAGGGAATATCCTATTTGTACATAATGCGGTATTCATCCCCTCACATGGAGGGGGAAACCCACTTTGAATAAATTATCCACTGTCTTTATCAATGGGTGAGATCAACTTAATTGGTCAAAGGGTGATTTATGATGAAAGTGGATAATTTATTCAAAGTGGGTTTCCTCCTCCATGGGGGGGGGGGGGGGGGGAGGTAAACACGTTATGAACATCCTAATGTACGCGTAGTATCACTCTTTGACCAATTAAGTTGATCTCAATCATTAATAAATTAAAAAATAGTTAAAATCACGAAAAAAATATACATAATCCTGTCAAGAAATTTAAATAAAATACATAGCGGAATCTGATTCTCTGCATGATCATACTATAGAATTAAACTCGACGTGGCTCGTTCATTACACTCAAAGTGCACTACTGTCACCTTTAACTATTTATACTATAAGGACAAATCACAAATCTCAATAGTGAATCAGCTAGCACTACAATCTTTAGTATAAGTGTCAACTTTTATACATTGATTGTGACAAATAATTTATGAACAAACTATAAGTGTGTCACACTGTACTTCTCAATGCAAATATCCAACTTATATTATTACAAGTGATCACAAGCACTTTAATTCGCATGCTCAATTATACATAATAAATAAACAAATAGAATCACAATTTTTTATTATAAATTATTATTTTATCATGCAAAATATACTATATGAGTGGGCACACAACCCATCAGTCAGTGTGTAACCTCTCAAATAGGATTTTAAATGTATGTTATGAGGTAGATATCGTCAAGAATAAACTTTTATAGAGGTTGGAATCCTTGAATCTCTCGACGCATATCTTCAAGGGATTTATATGGATCGTGATGCAAACGTTAAAAGGAGTGATCTTTAGGCTAAGAATTGATGCGTGTAACCAAATCGAAGATGAATTTGAAGAAGAAAATATGTTGAAGACGATTTTTGGGAGAAGATATTTTGTGTAATAATATTTGGATTAAATTAGGGCAACGTTAATGTGCATGAATTTGGGATTTGTGCCCCAATCGTGAGGTTTAATTGAACGGGAGTGATCAACGGATCATAGTTAAATTATATTGGTTAGGAATGTGTAGATATTTGTAGGTTATGTTGTGCAATTTCCACTTACGGGTTTAAAGGGTTAATTTAGTGGGTCTATTAATTAATTTTCACTTTCAAGCTCTAGCACCTTACATTGTGTTCTTCTTCGTCATTTTCCTTTTTCCCTCTTCCTTATTTTATTTATTTTATTTTATTTTTCATTCAATTGAATTGGGTCTATTTTTGTTTAAATTGGATAACAATTGCAACATTTTGAAGAGCTATTTCTTTATTTTTTATTTTTTTGATGGGTCAATACCAAAAAGTTGATGAATTTACGTAAATCCAAATAAAAAATTTCAGTTCAATTTTGTGGGCTTGGCATCTTTTTGTTTTCCCTACAGAGAGTGATGTATGAAGACAAAAGGTCGAGCGTTGAATGGTCGAAACGGGATAAAATGGATAGTAAAGAAAAAAGTTAAACAGTCAATTTAAAAAAAAATAAAAAAATAAAAATTTAAGGGTGAACTGATCAAGTTTTGACATGAACCTTTTTTAATGCGGAGCATCGTACAATCCAATAATGTCTTCTATTTTGACTCTTCGGTATGCCTTTTTTGAAAAATATGATTTTTAACGATGTGAAACAGGTTTTAAATTTAACTTTAATTTTTGGTTTTTTCTACTTAGAAAGGTGAGTGCAGTTATTACAAGTTAAATGTGAGAACTATGTAATACTACATGAAAAAAAAAAAAAAGTATAAAGAACCAAATTTATTGGAAGAATAAGTTCATGCGTAGCAAATTAGAGAACACATTCTCTAAAAATTAGACATATTATCGACAGATGAGCCAATCTAAACCCTAATCTTCATACATATGTAACTTCTGTAGATTGCTATTCCTTTAACATCAACACCATCTATCTTATAGAGAAATTCGAGTTCCACCTTCTGATTCTCAAGTTAATGAATAATGCATCTCAACTGGGGTAGTGATGACTGCAGCAACTTCATAAACAATGTTGTAAATCAAATTGGAGTTGCGGACTGGAAAAATAGGGTAGCAGTCAAGTTATATGTTAAAAACTAAAAAGTGAAAACCATATAAAACCACCCAAAAACCGGTGGCTCGCTTAACCTCAAATTTTTAGTATTTTTTACCACCGGTTCATCCATTTGACTCTTGACTCTTCGAATCATTTAGCTCTTAACCCCTTTCTATGGCCGGACCTGTTGAAGTATACTGAACAGCCTATTGACTTGGTCTGATTACCTCTTGAAATCACTATGTTCATCCAGTTTAATCGAAGACTTCTTGGTGCCTAATGAAATGAAAGCTAACTCCATGTATTTTCTTCAGAGTCGATAGGGTTTAATCTACTATATATAGCAATTTAAAGAGTAATGTTATTTAGCATCACTAGTGTCAAGTACCAGTCTAGGTGGCAACTAAAATCTTATCTTTTTTCCTTGAGTAGATCTGTAACTTAAATATCAAAATGGTCATTCCAAGGCACCAACTGTCCTTTCACCTATTTCTATGAAGGTATGAATCCCATGTCAAATGTTGACTGGAAATGCAACTTTCAAGATCTCATATAGAGAGAGGCAACCTTATGCAATTTCTGAAGCGCAGTAAGTATCATGACGCTCAATAGTAAAACCATTACAATGTATCATTACTACTCAATATAAAACTAGGCAGAAGCTAGTCATCTAGAAACAAAAGAACTCATTATATCGAGAACAAAGGCATCCAACACTAAATATGAGCCATTCTGTCAAAGAATATGAATGCAATAAGCACACATAGTAAAAACACATAGCTAAAAGTGAAAGACAGCTCAACGAAAGTTTCCATAAATTTAGATTTGGCAGGATAACTATGGAAAAAATCCAACCTTCAAATGATTGATTGCTAAATGAAAGATAATCACCCTTCGATGTTTCAAATTTGACCAGCAGAAACACGCCAAAAATGGTAGTTTTCTGCATTCAGTCATCTACCCTTGAATTTTATCAGTTAAAAAAACTCGAGTCATTGGAACACCTGCAAGATTATCCACACTCAACATTCCAAACTCAGCAGCTGAAGAGAGTGTCTACACGATTTAATTCACCGACTTGTAGAGAAAACTAATCAATGACAGCAGTCATCGACCCTCGGACTTCACCAGTTGTGAGAAAACTCGACTAACTGAAACACCCGAAAGATCATCGGCACTTGAGGTTTCAAACTTGGCAACAGAAGGGCTGGCATCAACATGATTGAATTCACTGACTTGTGGGGAGAGCTGCCCAATGACATTGGTACTGTTCTCTTCGGGATCATTGTGAACTGTTGCCTCTTGAAGTTGAAGAGCGTACTCAAGATTCCACAACACATCCCCCATGGATGGCCTGTCCACCCCGAAATCAGCCAAGCATTTCTCTGCAGTTTCTCCAAACTTCCTAAGGGAATCTGGTTTTATTTTCCCCACGAGGTTAGGGTCTATGATTTGATCTAGCTGTCCTTTCTTCTGCCACTTCATTGCCCATTCAGCTAAGTTAACCATTTCCCTTGGAAGAGAAGGATCTATTACGGGCCTTGCACAAAGAACTTCCAACAAAACAACTCCATATGAGTAAACATCTGATTTTTCTGTTAGTTGTTGCCTTCTGAAATACTCAGGATCCAGGTACCCGAAACTCCCTTTAACTGCTGTACTAACATGGGTTTGATCAAGCTCAGGCCCTGTCTTAGAAAGTCCAAAGTCAGCAACCTTCGCCATAAGATTCCCATCGAGCAAGATGTTTGCAGACTTCACATCACGATGAATAACTGCTTTGGAGTCGCCTGTGTGAAGGTAGTGCAGTCCCCGTGCTGATCCAATGCATATCTCAAGCCTTTGCTTCCAACTCAAATTGGGAAGATTTGAACCGTATAGATGGCTTTTGAGGGTCCCGTTTTCCATGTATTCATAAACTAGAATCATCTCGTTCTTTTCGTCACAGTAACCAATTAATGAAACCAAGTGACGGTGCCGGAATTGTGAAAGCATCTCAATTTCAGTTCTGAACTCTGCTAGACCTTGTTGGGATCGGCCATTGCCTCTCTTAACAGCTACTTTTGTACCATCATTTAAAATCCCCTTGTAAACCTTCCCAAAGCCACCAATTCCAATTACCCAACTCTCATCAAAGTTGTTTGTTGCTTCTTGAACTGCAATAAAAGGAATGCGATAGCTCATGCTAGAACCAATACTAACAGTAGTTCCATTTGAGTATTTGCTACCCATGGTAGTTTCTCCATTGATGGATATAGGAACCCAGGTTCTTGAACGGCGAAGGCGCTTTAGTTTTCTTCTTCTGTGCATGATAAATAGTAAGCCAATCATCACGAAAGCAAGTAGGACACCAACGCTCACACCCACAATCACTCCCAAATTCTTCTTGGAGCCTGGAAATGTTGGTAGAATGGCTGCCCCACCAAGGCTACCTCGAGAATTGTTCATTTTCATAATCTCCAATCCATTTAAAAGGGCATCAGGGTAAGCACTCCGAGGAGAGGGGCCAATACTTAAAGTAAGGTTACTTTTATGAAATGATGTGGTGACTAAGTCCATATAATATGCAGTGGCCAACTGGCCATCACTTTTTGCACTTAGTTCAAGATCCTGAGCTACAAGGAATGAATCAATATAAACATTAAAAAGAAGTTGATTAGCAGCTGCACTCACTATGTCGCAAAAGTGCATTCGGATCAAGTATTGAAAGCCCGGATCCACAATGAATCCCCATGTCACATTGAAATTGCTATTTTGATCACTTTCGGAGTTCATCTTTGTGCAAGTTCCATACACAGTCGGTGGAGCAATATCCGGTGTTGGACCCCCTTCAGGATACTTAACAGCTGAAATCTTAGATGCATTTGTGGCAAGGTTTGGTCTTAGCAAGAATCCTCGGTCAGACACCCATGTTCTCCCCAACGTGTCATTCTCTAATGAAACAAATGGTCCACCCATATTTACCCTTGCAACTGTCTCAAGAGCCTGATTCACCAGGCCATTAAATGCCCCCGATGGATTGAAAAGAGAGGCATCGTCCACGATGAGGGAATCAGGTACCGAGACAACTTCCAGAGCATTAATATATGCAAACGAATTACTTGAAGGGGAAAAGGTGATTACAAGATCTCCAGATGTTACATTGACTGAAAATTCTTTAACCGTAACATTCTTAGGACTGAAATCACTAGCTAGTACAGTTGTTTGGGCGAAAACAGAGAATCTAGCCGACTTCATATCATAATTCTGATAAACAAATGGATAAAAGTATAGTCGGATCCAGTGCCTCCCTTTCTGGCTAATCGAAAACGTATACTTTGATGGTCCTGTAAATATTCTAGCAGTTCGAAAAAGCCGTGAATCCTCGGACGATGTGATGCTATTCAAATTGCTATCAGCCAATACATCTTGTGGGGTTGACAGGAATTTGGAAGCAGATTTATCAGCTACATAAATGGTATTACCCACAGTAACATCACTAGAGGATCCGCAACTTACATGGTACTTATCAACAGGATCAAATCCAACAGAAAAGCACACCAAACACAACACGAACACCACCCAGATTGAAAATCTCAAATCTCGATAACCCATATCGCGAAACCAGATAAAAATTGCAGCTATAAGTTCAAATAATATTATATAAACTAGCAAAATTACGAATATTTCTGCACCAATAGGATAAAAAATAAAAAACTCATTAAAGAGAAGTATAAAGGGAAGGAAAAGATGACACCTCTGAGATAATCTGAGCTCTAAGAGAGAGAAATTGAGAGAAACCCATATTTCTCGTCAGCAGAAAACGCCCTTCCGATAGCAAATTAACAGGTGGAAAACAAGAAACAAAAGTTTGTGCTAAACAGCAAACAACAGCAAATTAACAGGACGGCATCAATTGGAGAGCCATAACTCCAGATATAAACAGGCAGAAATATCTTTTTGTTTTTTTTTGAAAAAACGACAGATTTATGTTTCAATAATGCGTTCATACACATATGTGAGGCAAGATAGTGCATGAAAACAGGGTCAAAGGTGAACACCTACGCGTATATATGTGAATGGATAGGTGGAGACAGAATATAGATAGTAGGTTAGAGAGGGACCAGAGTTGAAAGTTTCCAGCTGTAGTAGAAAATGGGTAAGAATGGACTGAAACTACGGTTTTTGACGGTGGAACATTGCAATTGGGAGAAAGTCTGAGGCTGTGCGCTTTCGGGGGTCATTTTAATTTTACTAACTGAAAAGGGATGAGTTTGAATTTTTAATATCTCGACAATAAATAGGATCAATAAAAGGTAAAATTATACCTCTCATTTAATGCTACACAGATTAATTTTTTTTTTAACCATGGGTGTTCAGCCAACTTACGTACACCTCGACTAATTTCACGAGACTCTGGAATTTACAGTCGGATACTCACCTCAATAACTTTGAGGGGACTCGAACTAGTTACTATTGGAGAGCAAATGTAAGATCTGACCATTGAGCTACACCTCAAGATTTACATAGATTGATTTTTTAACACGTATAGTGCCAAACGACGGTACTATAAAAATTTGGGGGTGACTACGTAGGTTAAAATGTATTGAAATTTGATAAGTTAGTGGTTCCCAATCTCTCTCTCATTTTCAGAATATTTAAAATCAGCCATGGATTACAAAACAATCTAAAATGATTATTCTTGATTGATTACAAGAACGAATTATGAATCTATACGCATATTCATAAAATTATGAACAAGCTTTCAAAATATAATTGATTTTATCTGACATTTTTGATAGAGTTGTTTGTAAGCTTGCAACTTCACACAATAAATTGAATGTAGCATTATTTATGTCAAATATTTGTATATTTATAACATAGAATTGGTTTTAATATACATAATGGTAAAGTAAAATGCGAGTTCTCCAATTTTGACATGAGTTGTATTTCAATGAATCATCTACAATTTGGTGTAATCCGATCATCCTCTTGAATTTGTTTACAAATATGATCACTAATCTTGAATTTGGTGTAATCTGGTCATCCAACTTCGATTTTTTTAATTTTATTATTATTTTTTTTACAAATTTAACCAGATTAGTTTAAATATCTAAGTCACATATTATGTTCATTAAATTATCGATAGTGCAACATGATTAGATTTTCGAGCACATTTGAAAGTAAGTCTAATTGCATTAAATTGAAGATGATTGATCAGATTTCAAGCAAATTGAAGCTAGTTAATCTAAATTCATCAAATAAAAGATGAATTATCCGGCAACTTTGCACAAAATTGGACGACTCATAGTCATTTAACCTTAAAAATCACACATTCACGTGAATTTTAAATTAAATTCAATACACTCGACTTAAGCTCAAATTTTGTAGACAACAAATTTGCCTCAATTAATTTGCATTTTATAGCCTAACACGTTTGTGTGTGTGTGTCTATATATATATATATATATGTTTGTGACAACCCGGGCTGAATGTGTAGAAAAAGACGAGGACTAGAATTTGAATCAAACCTTTGTTTAATGTTTGTTTTGAACAGCTGGAGATTGACGCTCCACTTGGAAAATTGGCTGAGAAAGTGCACAAAAATTGGACGGGCCAGCATGTTAACATTCTGTCACAGCCTTTTTATTTATTACTTATTTTAATTTTAAAAAATGGTGTGTATTATTCTCCATTTGGTGGGAACTTGTATGCATGGTTTGACAATTAGTTGTTAGTGATTTCTCATTTTCGAAAAAAAAAAAAAAAAGAAATTGATTTGCCCTAATGTTTGATAAAGATGTCTTGTATTAAACTTGTTTTTAACTTGATCAGTCCTTTTTTTAAAACTAACTTCAAACTTGCAAAAACAATAAATAAAATAAAATAAAATAATAGTAAGATAAGTTTTCTAAATCAAATTAGTTCAATAATAAGTTATTTTGGGGAATTTACATAAATGTCACTAAAATTGAAAATGTAAAAATAATTTCCATTTGCACCAATTTCTTTCAAAAATGTCACTTTTTTGCTGCAAAATATCCATTTTACCCTTTGTGACACATTTTTAGGAGCAATAAATGCTTGATTTGAATACAATTAATGATGTGATGTGATAATTTGTTTAATATATTTTAAACATTTAAAATATGATTATTATATTGTATAATATGAATTTTTGTTATAAATAGGGGGTAAAAAGTAAAATAAAAATACACAAACACGTATGAACACAGACCCTACCTTCTTCTTCACCATCTTTATTCCATCATTAACAAGGGAAAGCTATTGATCAATCTCAAATGTGAGCTACTAGAATTTTTTATTTTTATTTTCATCTTATAGTTTACTACTTTAAATGTTAAATATAACATGGTCATATTTAATTGAATTTTTTGAATCTCTTATTCATTGATATGTTTTAATTTTGATATATTTTTTGAAGGGAAAAAAATATTAACATCCTTTAGAAAATGTGAAGTATTCTATATTTGATAAGACATTGAGTTATTCCTTATTTATTTGTGGGAAGATATTGTGATATTATAGTTGAGAATTAATTATTACCATTAATGTTTTCAAAAATTTATTCCAAAGAACCAAATACATGGTTTTCAAACTTCCTCGAAATTTATGGTAGTTTAACTGTTGAGTAGTGTCGTCGAAGCCGTCGGGTTAGACATCTGAATTGTGGAACTCGACATTTACTAACTGTCGGGATAGACAATTTAATTGTCAACTTCGACACTTGAAAACTGTTGAAATCCTTTATTTTCCTTTCTGCTATTATATGGATCTAGATATTCGAAAGCTCTAACTTGATGGAATTACATGTCGATATATGAAATGTGCAAAATTCTCACATTTGCAATATTAACATTTCATGTATGAATTATCACTTGAGATTCATCGCGCGTATAGGGGAAAGTTTGTTCAACCCCCAATGTAATATAAGTTTCTTAAACAACCACTCGACGTCGTTGTTGATGTTGTATGTCCAATGTTCCCTTACTGCGTTGTACATTATCAAGTTATATTATCGTTTCGTTGTCATTATCGTTTGTGGCTGTTATTGCTCATTATGTTGTTATTATCGAACTCTGCTATTGTTGAAAATAATTCTATCACACCATTCAAAAATTGCTACGACAATCCACTAAAAATTCTAATTTTAATTCCCACCAAACAACTTGTTTGTAAGTTGTAAACATTGGATAATTACAAATTGGATTGAATTATTTACTACAATATTAGAGGTGAAGTGTTTTTTCTACCTTTTAAAAAGGTCAGTAATTTACCGTTTTCGTTACCTTTATTCCTTTTTATCATGCTTATAACCTATTGATTTCACCGAAGCGTACATATATTGCATAAAGGTATTTTCAACTTACGATATTTTCCAGCACATTCTCAACTTAAATTACTATTTTCAACTTACATTGTCATTATCATTCCCACATTATTCGTAGATTGATAAATATATGTTCAACTTCACAAGTAAAATGCGGATCCATAGATAACATATTGCATGACAGCTCGACAGTTCATATGTCATTTCCAACAGATTGTTTCTGTCATTCTCGAAACTTGGTTAGGAGTACACAAAAAAAAACTACACGTAACAGGCATAAAGGACATGCTCATGCTGAAGTTTTGGTAAAGACATTATCAAATTCATTCCTAAAGAAGATAGACTATACATAACTTATTACACAACTACATTTTATTACTGCCCACTTCATTAGTCGTCGACATTTGAACTTTCTCCCCGCTTTCGTTATCATAATATAAATTTTAAATTATGAGTACTATTTGCTTTTGTAGTTGTTGGTAATCAATGATCCTGAGTACTTTTTGATCTTAAATGTAGCACTTGCCGAAATATCATTTACTATTAGGGAACATTGAAATGTGTACAGTGCAAATAGATAACAGAGAAAACGATGAATGATAAGTTCAATAGCATAAAGATAACAACATTCACCCTACATCCAGTAAACACAGCATATGAGGTTGATTAAATGCAAAGTATCTCAAATGATAATGCACCAAAAATATTAATTTTTGATATTGGGGATACACCATTAGATGAGAATTTGGATAATCCATTATTCCATGTTCACACTTGATGAACAAACAATTAATTACACAAAGTTAGTTGTAGGCATTAGTGTATAGAAATATTACTACAGGCATAGTAGTTTATTAGACAACATATTTCATTACTGTCATGACAAACTGAATGAATAATTTTCGACAGTTCATTGCAAATGAGTAAAGTACACTGAAATTTTCAACGTAATAGATATTCGGATACACTCCATTATATACATACATTATCACATGAATCCCTAACAGAAATTAGACCATAAATATAGTCGACACATAAGTATAAATACTTGTTAAATTAACAAATTCAACTATATTACCATTGAATTTCACTTAGAAGCACACAACGTTTAAGGGACGGTTACAGTAAATTAAAACATTTGTGCGCATCACTAATAGAAACTGTAAAATATTTTAAAGTAAAAAGCTATACAAAAGTACTATCACGATACATTTTCATTATGAAATAAACACATTCCAAAATACTATCACATCATTAACTATTTAAAACAACAGTTATATTATCCTTGAGAATATGTGACTATTTCCCTTGTTAAATTCTACAATGTATCTAATATATTGCTTGATTTAACATTGGTTGACTTTCTATCAGCTCCCCCTGGTGAATGGAGTCCTAGTTAATGCAGCAGGTAGTGTACAAGTGTATATCATTGCATATTTGTGTTAACGGCTTTGTCACCTTGAATGGGTATGGTTGATGCCAATGGTACATTAGTGTGTACTCCTATGCAAAAGTGGTTTGAGTAGTATTAGTTACCAAAATTTAATAAGAGAAGAAAATAACAGATTCTACCAAGATTTGAAATATAACATTGAAATGATACGTTTGTCTTCAACTAAATATATTTAATGTAAAATATAAGAATTTGACATTGTATAACTACCTAATTATGGAACTTACCGTTTGCCACAAGTATAGGGAACTTCGTGACGGTCCGATCATGTACCTTTCGGATCGACACCTTCATACGAAATAATCAAATTTCAAATGCTAAGGTTAAGAAATCAAAAACAATTAAACAATTGTTTT